TATTGTATGCTTGCTTGGAACCAAGAACGAAAAATGGCCTTTGTACTAATCGCAAGTTTCATAAAATTATGTAACACAAAAATCATATACTGAAATGGAAATGTGATAATTGCAAATGTCGATCAAAATAGAATTTCTACTATGCTGTACGCATCGATCAAATAACAAACTTCTCTTTTTCTCTCAAAATGTCTTCAAAAAAATACACGAAAAAAAGGAGCAGACAACAAGACCGTGAAGACCTTGCTGGGTAAGTGTTTTAAGGATGGTGGTGGTGGTTATCACCTGCCACCTGTCGTCACTCTAGTTCCCAGATTAAAAAATTTCGTCCCTTTTATGTTTATTATTATTCCTTAGAACATTATACGACAAAATAAACAACGCACTAAAAACGTTAATGAATGAAGCCAAAAAACGGGATTTGTTGTGAGAATTTTAATGAAAATACATTCACGCTACTTCACGTTTTATATCTTTATGAATCTCATACACTCATGTCTTACTTTATAGACTTCCAGCTGCAAGTGGAATATTCAATGTTGAAGACAAGGAAATAAAATCATTATTAAAGAGCGAAGAATACGAAATTTTTTCAAATATAAATCTACCGTTTCATGAAGTGCCAGAAAATTCAGCAAACTACTTACTTACGTTAGCTAAAAAAATTTCATCAACACAAGAACTATGTCATTATTTGGCAACAATGCCTTGGGGGGATGAAGTTTATAATATAGAAATGCATTATAATCTAAGAGTAATATGGAATACCATGGAACAATTGTAAGTAACTTCACTGTTCTATGAACATATTCTTTGTGATGTCAAAAAAAAACTGACATAGTTGTAGCCTGAGTTATTTTGAATTAAAAAGGTTTCCATCAGTAAAAGTTATCCCGGAACCATGGACTACAAATAATTTATTGGGTTGTGTCTTTCAAGAGATGTTCATAGACATTATTGAAATGTTGAAGTAAGTCTACCTGAGTAATATTGTCTTTTCTTTTATCCATATCTCTCTTTTTTCCTCATCCCAATTTCAAACATTCAAGATGTGAAACGATGAGCAAAGCATCATCGATGAGAAAGAATCAAGAACGATTAGAAAAACTTGATTCAAAAACCAGAAAAAAGAAAGGACATAATATTGATATTATAGGTCGAAGTTATGAACCAGAAAAATATGAATTGATTAAAGTTGAGATTAAAAAGAATGATGAATTGACTGATCAAACCAACTGTATAAATGATCGAAAAAAACTTTTCAGGGAAATGAAGGACTCACTTGATCAAATTTTATTATTATTTGAAGACACTCCCAAACCACATAAACTTATGGTGTGGGGTATTTCGCATTGTGGTAAGTTTGAAAATCATTATTGGATCCTGATTATTTGTTCTTTTCTCATTTGTTTTTTTTTTGTTTAAAGAATTATCAGGGATCATATATGGGATGGATAATCCATTTGGACTCGATTATTATAGACTATTTACATTTGGAAGATACAATTTACCATCATCATTTTCCAATATTGGTGATTTATTAATGAGTATAAAATTACTATTACAGCTAAAGGTAATTATATTTTTTTGTTTTAATTGATGGTCCATATATATGCATTGGAATAGAGTGGAATTATCATTTCTAATGCTATATAAAATGTCAAAAACAAATTTGAAGAATAATTTCATGCAAAAAATTAAAGGGCTGTTTTTAGGTTTCACTATATGAAAAACTTGGATTTATATTCCGATTCATATATGTATGGATCAGCAAATATTTATCACATTACTAATTTGTTTGATTTTTTATGACTTCACAGATGGTTATAAAAAAACAGTTGGATTTAATTAGATCAATGAAAATGTCAAATTTATTAAAAGATATCACAAACAAAAAAATATCCAAGGGTGACAAATTCAAAGTTAAAATCCAAACCGAAACTTCGCCAGAACCAAGGAAAAGGAAAAAGATGTCTCATTAAAGAATCTAACCATATCATAAGATTTTTTTTAAAAAGATAAAATTGGGATTTCTGTTTAATTTGTTTTCCAAAAATAATTGGCTGATTTTTTGGCAATGAGGTGATTTTTCCTAACATTGAAAAGATAAAATCAGAACTCCTACCTTTTTTTTCCCCTTCAATTCATTTCCCAAAAATATTCCTTTAATTCGTTTTTCAGTGGCTGCAAAAATTAATCTTTTAATTAAGATAAAATATATTCTTTTTTTTTTTAACTCTTAATCAGTAGTAGATGCAAGAAAATTATAATCTTTGCTATATCAATATACAACAGTGAAGAACTGTATTCAAATATATCAAACCCTTATTTTTAAATACATAATTATTTATTATCCTTTTTAGCCCTAATCACTCACCCATTTGTGATATTATTGTTAATGAAAATATTCATATTCAGGCCATATATATACCTGATGAATGATGCCTAGCCAAAGCTGAATTTGGAAGAAAGAAAGAATATACTTGGATGTTCTACTAATGAATTAGGAAGATAGTGAAAATGAAAACCGCCAAGTAACTTCAAGAAAATGCTACTCAGAAATATTTAAAGATATATGTAGTTTTAAAAATATTTAAAAACATATTTAATTGATGATCCTTTTGTGAACAACAGCAAATTATTATTTTGAAAATGTAAGGAGCAATTTTTTCACCTTGCTCCTTTTTCAAAATACTTCTAATGGTGCTGTAATTCTTTGGTTCCATGGTAGACCTAATGTAAATTAGCTTCATATT